GAGACTCGCTTGAGCCCAGGAGTTGGAGGTTGCTGTGAGCTGTGAAGCCACGGCACTCTATCCAGGGGGATAGCTTGAGGCTCTGTTTCAATAATAATAATAATAATAACCTATTGTTAGCAATTAGTTCTATTTGCTTTAACTTTTGTTTCCTCCCTCTCCCTCCTCCCTCCCCTTCTTCGCTCTTCCACTTGTCCCCCTTTCCTTATATGAGAGAGAGACAGAGACAGAGAATGTATTTTATAAGGATATCCTTTTACTTAAGTAAATGTAATTTATCCTCTGTATTCCAATTTTGTCAGTTGACCCAGTAATGAACTTTATGGCACCCCCTCCCAATATAGTGTCTAAGATAAAGCACTTCTATTTATTTATTTATTTTTTTTGGACACCGAGTCTCACTTTGTTGCCCTGAGTAGAGTGCAGTGTTGTCATAGCTCACAGCAACCTCAAACTCTTGGGCTTAAGTAGTGATCCCCTTGCCTCAGCCTCCCGAGTACCAGGGACTACAGACACCCTCCACAACACCCGGCTATTTTTTTTTGTTGTAGTTGTCATTGTTGTTTAGCAGGACTGGGCCAGGGTCAAACCCACCAGCCCCACTGTATGTGGCCAGTGCTGAGCCCAGACACTTAATTTTAATGAAACCAGGCCTGTACCTTGATTCTGCTAGGAGTGGATTCTTTCAGCTTTCCCCTGCATTTCTCTCCATCTCCCTTCTTTGTTCCCACTTGACATAGTCGAATGACCAAAGATTTTCATGGCAGCACTCTTCAGGTGATATATGTTTTTTTTTTTTTTTTTTTTTGAGGCAGAGCCTCAAGCTATCCCCCTGGGTAGAGTGCTGTGGCATCACAGCTCACAGCAACCTCCAAATCCTGGGCTCAAACGAGACTCCTGCCTCAGCCTCCCAAGTAGGTGGGACCACAGGTGCCCACCACAATGCCCGGCTATTTTTTGGTTGCAGCCATCAGTGTTGTTTTTAGCAGGCCTGGGCTGGATTCGAACCTGCCACCTTAGGTTTATGTGGCTGGAGCCTTAGCCACTTGAGCCACAGGTGCCGAGCCAGGTGGTATATGTTTGCCTTAACCAATCATAATTTTTTCCTCTGACCATAGAGTCTATAAGAGCTGGAAGTTTAACCTGACATCTTCAGTGTTCTATTCTCACCTCATACAAATACACAAGAGTTCTTAGCACATAGTAAACAGTCAGTAAATATTTGTTGAATGAATCAGTGATGAAGGGCATTGAAGTGACTAGCTAGACAGACTGTGACCAGAAAATACAGACAGGGTGCTCCAGAGTCCTTTAAGATTAGCCTTGGTATTGTTTACTTCTATTCCAATTTTGATGCCAGGAATGCTAAAAATATTTAAACCAATCATTTTTTGTATAATGTTTTATAATTTTCAAGTCTGTATCTACAGAATCCTTCAGGAGCATCATTACAACCCACTAACCCTATTTTACAGTTAAGGAGTTTGAGGATCAGAGGTTAAATGGCTTGCTCAGGGTCATGTACCCAGTCAGAGGCAGACTGGATGGGAACACGGGTCTTTAGGTCTCAGCCCCATGTTCTTTCCACTTCCCTATGTTGTTGTTCCCTATCCTAGAAAGCAAAGGTAACGAAAAAGCTCAGGTTGTACTAGGGCTTTATGTGAACCTGGGATAGTTATAGATTAAGACATGGGGAAGATTAAACATAAGAAACCCAAAGAAGGTATTTGGGAATAATTTCACTGTGATGAGGCAAAGATAGGGGGCAGAGTAGCTTTTGTGCATCAGCTTTAGGAGTGGGTCCAGTTTGTTGATACATAAAGCATGTTCCCCTTCAGCCCTCTCTCCTTGGGGATAAGAACAAACATGTCTTGTACGTCTACTGTGGACCAATTGCTTCATAAATACATAATCTGATGTAGCCTTTTCCATTTCAGAAATGAAGAAATAGAGATTCAAAGAAGTTGAGTAACTGTTTTATGGTCACACAGCTGATAAAAGGCAGATGGATCTGATATCTGTGCTTTTCTAAGCCATGGGAAGGAGTGGTCTTTTTTTTTGAGACAGAGTCTCATTATGTTGCCCTTGGTAGAGTGCCATGATGTTATAGCTCACAGCAACCTCAAACTCTTGGGCTTAAGCGACTCTCTTGCCTCAGCCTCCCAAGTAGCTGGGACTACAGG